GGAACGACGAGAAGCCAGTTGTCAGTCAGATCCTCGCTCTCAACAACTGAAGTCCCATAGAAGCTGAACGGTGGAAGGTGAAGGTTTTACAAGTGGCTGAATTGCTCATGATATCCTTCAGGATTCCAGCAAAATTATTTGTTTCCTCAATGATCGATCCCCCAAAAAAGAGAACAGTATGATGGAGAGAGTGGAACTAACATTGGCTAAGCAACTACTGTGTGCTATTAATTTGTGCTACAGTCTGTTTCATGAATTTTCAAATTTAATTCTAGCAACCACCTTATGAAGGAAATATTATCTCCTGTAATTACTTATAGCTGTGGCAATCAAGGCTCAGAGAGGTTATTAACTTGCTCATATTGCTAGTTAAGTGGCAAAACTCATAGTCCCACCAGATCTCTTTGACTCAAAAGCTTGTCCTCTTCCCAATGCTACACAGTTGCCTCCCTGAATACCTGACCGCATCCCTTAAAAATCCTGCCCTCACTTGGGGTCCCAGGAAAATACAGGATGCCCAGTTAAATTTTCAGATAAACAATAAATACCTTTTTAGTATTTGTGTGTCCCAAATATTGCATGAGGTATGCAGATACTAATAATTATTTCTTGTTTTTCTGAAATTCAAATTTAACTGGGCATCCTATATTTTTGGTAACTGTAGCCTGGCCCTCATTGATGCTTTCTGGCCACACGATGGAGATGCCAATATTCTGCAGTTTACTCTTCTTTATTGTCATTGCACAAAGATGTCTTCCTGGGCTGGCCCCGTGGCCGAGTGGTTAAGTTCGCGCGCTCCGCTGCAGGCGGCCCAGTGTTTTGTTGGTTCGAATCCTGGGCGCGGACGTGGCACTGCTCATCAAACCACACTGAGGCAGCGTCCCACATGCCACAAGTAGAAGGACCCACAACAAAGAATATACAGCTATGTACCGGGGTGCTTTGGGGAGAAAAAAGGAAAAAATAAAATCTTTAAAAAAAAAAAAGATGTCTTCCTGTTGTACACTTTGGGTGGTGGAGTGATGGGGAAGAGCGCTGAGGGAGGCTCCATCTGAGCACAATCGCTCCTGGGAATGTAATGATCACTTCCTTCTTTACAGTTCGCTGAACTGTGATCGGGCCTGGAAAACGCCAGGCTGGCCAGGAGGTCGACTTCCATGATGCCCACGCATCTAGTTTAGAGCTTTCCAAATTTGTTTTCTTGGAGCTCTAGCCCTGAGCTATATCGTGGACAGATATCTTTGGGAAATACTATAAATGCACACCCCTGGGAGTCCTGGGGCATGTTAGATCATTGAAGGGCCGGAGAAAGTCCACAGGAAAGGCTGCCATTGACTTTCTGGAACTGAGATATTGTCAGTCTCTCTGAGGACAGCGGTCAGAGGCCCTGCCTGTGGGATGACTGGAAACCCAGGCCTTTCTCAGGTTCCCTTCTGAGACTGCTTCTGAGAACCCTCAAGCCGTGTTTACATACTCTTTTTATTCTGGGGGCCTCAGAATGGAGTTGGGCCAACAGTGCTCAGTTGCTAGCACCGAGCTTACATGGTCTGTAAATCCTTAGAGGTGTCGGCTCTCTGGGCTAGGCTGTACTCCATCTGCACGTCCCCTCTTGCCACCTTGTCACCTGCTTGCCCAGGCTGCTAGGCTCTTCCATATTGATATTCCCCATGCATAGACACTAGCCTGCTCCTTAATTCCATTTTTCCAGCACAGAAAAGACAAACAGCATTGGAAACCAGACAACTCCCAGAGCCAGCAGATCAGTCGCCTCCACCGCCTGTTGGTGATGCGCGGGTAGATGTTGAACAGCCTGCCGGAGGGGATTGATTTCCAGTGTTTGCACTTCCTGGGTGTAAATACTCCCACCACGGCCAATTTCAAGCTGCCAACTGTGATGTCATTGAATGGGAGTTGGGAAGAGATGCACAGTAGCTCACCCTTATATAGTATTTCCATCAACTAATACATTAGACCTCAAGAGCACAGGTAATACAAAATGTAGTAAAATTAATTATGAGGTGATGAGCTTGAGTGTTTATTAACTTTGTTTTTAATATCATTTATTTAATTGTAAGTTTATCTAATTTAATTTTTAATGATGGCTGTGTTTATCAACCAGCTTGCAAAATTCCTGAAAATCTTACAGTCTGGGGGTAACTTTCTCATTAGCCTTCAGCCCGGCTCCTGGTTGCACTGCCTGTAACTCCCATGCCCCATCCACTTCTCCCATCCCCACCCCCAGCAAAGGAATGCTCTTGAAACCATTTTTGCCCTAACCAGAATCCAGGCCCAGCTGCATCCCTCAGAAACAACCTACAGATTAATGAAGATAGACTTTCCTATTGCCGCAGAAGTCCCTTTATCTTGAGCCACCCTATTTCAGAACAGGATATTTGCTTTACTTTGCATAAACAAAAGGGCAATCAGGGTATTTTTCCTAAAGCAGAAGCATCGTAGGCCCCAAAGGCGACCTCTAGCTGGAAGTCAGCACAATGGAGAAGCAGTGAAGCTTTGGAACTGGGAGGCCCCTTTTTGCCGCAGAATTTCAAGGACTTCAGGACCAAATCTGAGATGGGGCTCCCAGTCTTCACTCAGGCATCCCTGTCCTCAGTCACTATTGAAGAAAGGCTTTTCCCAGACATGTGGCCTATGGGGCGGTGTTGTGGGTTGCATTGTGTCCCCTCCAAAATATGTTGAAATCCTAACCCCTGGTGCCGAGAAATGTGACCTTATTTTGAGGTGGGAGGTGCTTCCCCGCCTCTTGTCCTCCTACCATGGACTGCAGTGCTCCGAAGAACCCAGAAGCCAGCACAGGAATAAACAGACTCCTCTACATAATCAACCCCCAGGTGGTTCTGTGCTGATCTTAACTTATCCTGGATTTGTAACCCCTGCAAATGTGAATTCACCTCCACTCGGAAGCTTTGTCAGTAATCACAGACAAACCTCCTCCCCCTACGACTCCAACTAAACCACTTCCCAGAGATGGCCTGAGAGTTCCAGAAGTCTCAGAATTTGAAGTAGTTTACCTTGGAAATTCTTAATTCGGTTGATTTTTTGTCTCATAGCAGATGTGATATAAATACTTCATTATTGAAAATATTCTCAATTTGCATAAATGTTTACACCATGTTAAAGGGGATGAGAAGAGAAATGATATAATTACTGCAAACTAATTTTACTAATTACTCAGAGCATGACACAATCAGTGGTGCCAAAAGATGAGCGGAGAGAAGACCTGAGTGCTGAGCTCTGAGGTGTCAGGGTGCACAGGGGGCCAAGCACTAGGGTGTATGAGGGGAGGGGGGAGCAGCCAGGGTCCTTCACCGACAAAGTCACCAGCCAGTGGTATGGCTGAGACCTTGCTGGCCCCAGCTTCCAGGTCCCTTCCCACATCTCAACTTCCGATCCCTTCATCCCCAGCTTCCTGCCCACAGGCCTAGTTGTTTGTGCAGTGGTCCTCTGCACCCCATCGAGGTGGCCAGGCCCACTACCCTTGGAGGTCTAGGAGGAGATGGAACTCCTGAGCTGGCCTAAGCTCAGAGGAGGTGGTTGTCCAGAAGCCACTGTGGCAACTCCCAACCCAGGCCACCCATAACTGCCGCCACTGTGGGTGGCAGCCCAGGTGTTCACCACGCTCAGCTCCTCTGCAGGGTTTTGCCTGACTATTCTCTGGTTGGTTCTTTTTTGCTGCCACTGAAATTCCTAAATCTAAGATCCAGTCGCCTGTGAACCACTGGAAGAAAAAGAATTCTTCCAGAATTCTGGACCTAAGTGGCTAAACCTGAGTTAATGTGCCTATGGTAGGTTGTTGCCGGATTCATGGCCCCTAGTGAATCACTCCTCCCAGCATCTAGGGCCTGCGGTTGTCTCCTCCCACGTTGATGCTGGGCTGAGCCATGTGACCCACCCGCACATGTGACTCAAGCAGAGGCTTGATAAACATATATACATGGGAGCCTGCCCTGTGGAGTGCTGCCGTCGCCATGGAAAAAACCCAGGCTCTCCTGCTGGAGAGGTACCATGGGGAAGAGAACTGAGGCTCCAAGGCTCCGTAGCTGGTAGCCCCAGACATGAGAATCAGGCCTTCTTAGACCCTACAGCCTCAGGAGTGAGTCCACAGGAGACTGCCCAGCTGAGCCAGAGTGGTGAGAAAATAATGGTGGCCGTTTTAGGCTGATAAGATTTGAGATGGTTTGTTCCTCGGCCATAGATGACTAAATACTGCCTTTGATCTGCAGAACTTCTTTCTCTTCATTCACTCAAGACATAGTTTCCTGAGCATCTACTGGGTGACTCAGTCACAGGGAGGAGGGACACAAAGATGAACATAGATGGGGACCTTCCATCAAGTAGCTCAAGGTTCCATGACAGAATATATATTATCCTGGTCGGGACACCAAGAAGAGGTTCATGATGAAGGTGGTATTTCCTTCTTTTATCCTCTTTCCCTCTCGTTGCTCCCATTAAATGAATATTTAGTGAGTTTCTACTGCGTGCCAGGTTCTGTGCCAGGCACAGCAGTGAACACAAAGACAAGACTCACGGAGCTAGTGGCATTCAAGATAGATATGTCTATTCCTGTGCTTATCTTTGTCCTGGAAGGTGACACCTGCCATTTTGCCCCAGCACACATGTGGTCTACATGGGGCAGGTGGAAGAAGGAATAACATTGACTCCATGATAAATGCTTTTAGGCAAGGTGACCGTTTCATACTTTTTGTATCCAAGTGATTTAAGCAAAGAAATAATTTAAGCAAAGAGGTTGGAAATTGAGATGTTGGCAACAATGGCACCTCCACACCTTTCCATGGGATGGATGGGGGTTGTTTGTGGGCAGCAGGTATCTGTGACTTGTTCTTTCCCCCTCCCCTCAATCAGCTGTTTATGAGTGGCCTGAGAAGGCAGAACGAGGCAGGAGTTAGGCCCAGTGCCACCTTTCCTCTCTAACAGTAGCTGGGGACAGCAGAAGGACAGCTCCTCGGAGGGCATCTGCCTACCTGTTCTGAGGAGAGGTGCTGTTGGAGCTGTTCAGGTTGGGTTCTCTGGGAAGCACACTCTGAGAGAGATTAGCTGCGGGAAGTTTGTTAGGGAGTGTTCTCAGGATCAACACCTATGAAAAGAAAAGCAGGAAGCAGGATTGAGCGGAGGGAGAGGTTGGGCTATGATGTTACCTCAACGAAGGCTTCAGCTAACTCCCTGGGGAGCTCAGAGGCTGGCATGGTCCTTCAGAGTCATCTCAAGTTGCAGTGAGGGAGTGAGGCCTTTATACTCTGGAGTCAAACCATTCTTTGGTTGCCCAGGAGGTGGGGTTATCTGGGGCACAATGGCTGTCTTCAGCCAGGGTAACTTCTGAAGACAGATGAGGGCTGAGAGCCATCTGCTGGCAACACTGTGGCAGCTGACGAGCTGGGTCCTCTATTCCTGAAGGGGAGCTGGTCGGTGTTTCCCAACACCCACCCCATAGAATAAACAGGATCTGTCCTCAAGAAAACAGGAACATCATTTGTCGTTGCTAAACTCTGCCTGCGATTCCTTTTGGGGCCAGTTCTTCCGAGTACAGTGAGTACCTGGCTCTGTCTCCTGGAGTGCTCTCCATTTGACCATTTCAGAATAGAGATGACCTGATAATAGAAGTGCTGATGATGAAGGAGGAGGAGGAGGAGATCTGATTTAAGAGATAAAACTCAGCCATTCATTTGAAAAGATTTACCTTCATAAGATGTACATAATCAATGTTCAGTTATATTTGCTGACCAAAAGACTGAATAGATGAACACATTTTTAGTCACTCTATACAGCAGGTACATTTTGGCAGACCAGGGTTCAGCTGGAGATATCCACACTGGCGTTATGGGGCTGGTTACTGTGTCAGCTCCTGGCCTTTTGGGTTATGCTGTAAATTGCATAATCCAGTCTTCGTGTGGCTCATGGAAGGGGCTGTGGGACTCGGTGCTTCCAGGGATCTATGCAATAGAAGCCAGGAGGTCATTTAATCCAAAGATATCTCCTTTGTGAGAGTCAGAAAAGATTTTTCTTATCTCTGTTCTCCACAAACCATATCTACAGAATAGTGTCATTTTATACTAGGTAAAATAATGCATTTAGTCCCTTGAGTGTCTATTGGGGCTAATCTGAATTTACACACCATACACTAAAACGACCCCTTTCTCTCACCAAATACAAAACGAATACTTTTCAAACTACTCACTATAAAGAATCCATTAAAATAAATATCTCTTTATGACAGAAATTTTCAAACAGACACAAAAGTAGAAAGAATAATATAGTGAACCCCCATGTACCCATCGCCAGCTTATATAGATACCAATGTAGGGGAGGAAGACATTTCCTCTACCCACTCTAGGTCCTTCTGGCCAGACAATGAATTAAATTCACGTGAGACAGAATAGCAGGAGAAAATTAAACAAAGCTTTATAACATGTATACATGGGAGAGACTCAGGCAAACTGAGCAACTCACCAAAATGGTGGAAGCTCTCCCCTTAAATACCATTCTCAGCTAAAGACAAAGGAGGATGTTGGAGTTGGGGGAGTCAGTTATGGGAGATTACCACAAAAGGACAGTAAACAAGAGTAAGGTTATTATGCAGATTTAAGTCCTTGCCTTCTGCATTGATAAGAGTTTCTAGTGATAGGGTCTTCCTCCCTTCTCCCTGGTACAGAGAGGGAGACACCTTTACAGATGGAGATTTCCTTTACAATGTAAATGTCTCTTTACAAAGGGTTAAATTCTACTTTTCAGAGTTTCTCTCATGTCTGCAGTTTTTAAAAGTAACCAGCCTGCAATAATCTTCATGCCAAAGAGACATATCTTGGGGTGGCCAATTCCAATCCCCCACACCAATACTTTGTGAATCTTATTTCATCTATTCCCTTAATTTTTTTCTATAGTATTTTAAAGCAAATCCTAAACATCATGTTATTTCACTAGTAAGTGTTTCAGTATGCCTGTCTATGTGATAAGGGATGTTTACTGTTTACAAACTCTACCTGTTTTCTTATGTAATCAACATGACATTGTCATATTTAAAAATTGGCAATAATTTCTTGACGTTATCTAATAACCAGCCCATATCAAATTTATTTGATTGTCTTTAAAATGTCTTTTTTTTTTTCTTTTTAGTGAGGAAGATTGGACCTGAGCTAACATCCATTGCCGATCTTCCTCTTCTTGCTTGAGGAAGATTGTCCCTGAGCTAACATTCATGCCAGTCTTCCCCTGTTTTGCATGTGGGGCATCACCACTGGGTGGCTTGATGATCCGTGTGTAGGTCCATGCCCAGGATATGAACCTGCAAACCCTGAGCTGCTGAAGCAAAGCACACAAACTTAACCACTACACCACCAGGCGGCCCCTAAAATGTCTTTTTAAGGTTGATTTACTTAAATCGAGATCCAAATGAGATCCATACATTGCATTTGATTATAATATCTAAGTCCCCTTTATTCTATTTATTCTGTTACAGACTCTTTATATATATATATAGATAATATATATATATTGCCATTGATTTATTTGAAAATGAGTCATCTATCCTATAGAATGTTGCACATTTTGGATTTGGCTGATTGCTTCCTCAGGGTGTCATTTAACGGGTTCTTCTTTTTACTGTTTTTCTTGTAAAACAATATTTACAGCTAGAATCATGATTAGATTCAGGTTTAATTATTTTAGGCAAGAATACTTCCTAGGCAGTAGTATGTCCTACTTATTGTGTCTCATCATGAGGTACACTGTGTCTAACCACCCCACATTTCCCGATGCTTCTATGTCCCAGATTGATCAGCAGACTCAGTGAGGTCCACCTGATCCCTCCACTAGAAAGTCCGTCATTCTCATGATGTTCTTTCCTGGGAATCTCATCCCTTCCTGCCCTCAAAGGCTCAGCTGATGGTTGCAGCATCCACCACTGAGTGTTGCTTAGATCCCTTATATTAAAGTGGTAAAAGGGGATTATGAAATTCGATTATCCCCTTTTGATTGTATTGGCTGGAATTCTTCTGTTAAAACAAAACAAAAACAGAAAACCTTCCCTCATCAATTATTGGGCAGGAATCCATTTTATTGTTTGTTTTTTGAGGACGATTAGCCCTGAGCTAACTACTGCCAATCCTCCTCTTTTCACTGAGGAAGACTGGCCCTGAGCTAACATGCATGCCCATCTTCCTCTACTTTATATGTGGGGTGCCTAGCACAGCATGGCTTGCCAAGCGGTGCCATGTCCACACCCGGGATCCGAACTGGTGACCCCCAGGCCGCCAAAGCAGAATGTATGAACTTAATCGCTGTGCCACCTGGCCAGCCCCAGGAATCCATTTTAATGCTGTGGTTAAGTGTGTGATATTGTTTATGTTTACCAAGGTACCTGTGAAGAAAAGCACAGTTCAAACATCTGTCACAGCAGAGTTGGGGAAGAGCACAGCCTCTCTGTGTGCGCTTGATGCTCTTCTCTTCTTCCACATTCTTTCCAAGGTGAAGCTCTCCTCTGGTGCCTTTAATCCCATTTCATGCCACATCGCCTGGGACCTTGCTAGAGCTCTATTCTTTTATCTTTGTCTTTAAACTCTCTGTCTTGATAGTTTCTATCCTCTACCTAAAAGTGTACAATAGTTTCTTCTATCCTGGGGGGATAAAATCCTCCTCTTATGCTGTAATGCCTAACTCATCAGCTTGGCACGTGGGTCCCTCCTGACCTGGCACTACCCATCTTTCCTGCTCAGTATTCTTGATCTCTTCTTACACCTCAGGCCTCAGCTAAACCGAATCCTACCATTCCCAAAAAATGGCCTGTGCATTCTCTCCATCGTTCCTGTCCAACGTCCTTCCCGGCGTTTGTCAACCCTACCTGTCCTCAAAGGCTCTGTTCGAATGTCACGTTTTCAGGAAACCATTCCTGGTTACCCCGCCAGGAGAAAAAGATCCTGACCCTGATCACCCAAAGAAATATGTACCTCTTCAGGATATAATCTATTAAATTTTTGAAGAGGATCAACTAAGTAAAAAAACATGTGAAGAGACAATGCCAGACAGACAGAAAATTTAGTGAAACAGAGAATAAATATTATGGAATAAAGAGAATGCAAGCATGCTAACTATTCAGGTTAACAGAGCTGCTGTGACTGAGCTGTGGAGCCATTTCTGAGCTTCCCAACAGCTTAAGAAAATGAGGGAAATGCTGAGATTATGTGATTTTCATTATTGGAAGAAATCCCTTTGGTTTCATGATGTCATGGCAACACTTTCTTGGCCCCAGTTTCTGAAATAAACGTTTCAGATGGCATTTTATATAGGTGATGTAGGAGACAACATTTTATAGCAACTACAGAAGCAAATTTCACAGGACCGCTTCTTACAGCAACATTGGATAACAGCCAAGGCAGTGAAAGATAATCTTCTGACAGGCTAATCTAATAGAGTTCAAATATCAAGGCTTCTGGTGTCCTAACTGATCAAAGGCTAAAACTCAGAATAGTTAAAGGAATAAATGGAATGCACATGCTGTGTCCACAGCCATCTCTGTATCACTTCTCTAATCCAGTGATAACAGATAGGTGAACAATAGTTTAAATTGAACCTGTTGGTGAGAGTCTAGAAGGCTTGTCTCCTATATTGCTGCAGGAACGTAGATGCACGTAATGTGGAAAGCAAGTGAGCAGATGGTAGGGTTGATAACCTACTGTGGGAGTTGAGAAGTTCATCTGTGTTCTTGCTCAGATGGAAGGTCATTTTGCCCACAGTTAGCTGCAGAGAAAGCCAGGAGTTCCCTAAAAAGGCCATTTTTGATTTGCTCTTGAAATTGAACACAAAGATCTCTAGGAAACAAAAGCGTTTTAGGGCCTAGAAAATTTTCAAAATTTTTTTTAAAATTGTCCTACAACCATGCTAAGACCTCCAGTGTTCTTACAGGACAGCTGGTTCTCCACAGCATGGGTCCTGTGTGCCTCCTTGGGAGGCCCCTGGGCAGCTAGGGAGGGAGGGTTCTTTAAGCAATTATTTCATGCCATCCAATTGTTTAACATTGGATTTTGGAGCGTATCTGCCAGAGATAATGATTTGCTTGTTTTAATGTATTTAAAAATCTTTTTATTC